TTAACAAAGAAATTGCTTTTGGTTTCAGGAATTGTAAAGGCAGACTGTCTGGCTTTTACAGGAAGCTGTATTAGTGCTGACAACGTTAAACTGTTTACAGAAACTAGGAAGCTGGCAGGGTTCCTCTCCATCACACACGCTGTCCTGTCCTGTATCAGAGACTCTTACAATTCTCAACAAATAACTGCAAATTAATTAAAAAAAAAAAACATAAAAACTAGCAATGACACGCAGCTATTTTGTTAGTTTGATCCACATCTACAAATGTATCACATCCCGTCATTCCTTGACTCAAGTTACCAAATTCCATAGCTACTGTCACCCAAGAAGATTTAAAGACAGGGTATCTTCTGAGTGCAGTGGCAGGTGACACTGGATGTACCGCCAGGATATGAGGAGTAATTAATCCAGTGCTAGACACCAGTTATGGCATGTTATCCTCAAAGTGCTCGTTTGTAGCTAGAAAGGTACCTTAAGTTTTACCAAGAGTGTGAATCTTAGGCTTTCCTTTTCCACAGTTAAGCTTTTTAGTTTACTCATAATGGAAACTAACCAGAAAAGGAAATGTTTGCTTTTGGGAACTCAGGAAAGAAAACATTCATGTTTGCACCCAAAATTATTACTAACAAATGAAGGGCCTGCTGTGCTATCACTACCCTATCCCTTCTCCCCTTACCCACCTCCCCCCAAAAAACCCAACCTGACTTAACAGGCATCCATCTCCAGCAAAGTTTAAGTTATAGACCATGTTAAGAACTGGGTTTTGTTTTCTTGTATTTCAATTTTCATTAAAAGCTTAGTAATTATTAGTTAGGGAAAAACCCCACTAACCTAATTTTAGTTACTTTGTCTGCTATCTCCTCCCATTCTCTCTTTATTTTTTGCTATCCAAATGTAGCAAAAATAAGTGGGCATGGTGGTCCATGCCTATAATCACAGTATTTGTGAGGCTCAGACAGAAGCCTGGCTACAAACCGAAACTCTGTCTCAAAAATTCAAACAAAACTACCAAAGAAATTTCAGAAATAATTCTTAAACGTAAAAAGGCCAAAAAAACTGTGACTTACATAATTCAGATTTTTTCATTTCCTTCAAAATTCATAAACTGGCATATAGAACTAATTTCTATTGTCCAGAAGTAACTTAATGTAATATAAAACATTTCACTTTTTATTCAGTAGACTCTTCACAGTTAAGATGTCTACAGAAAGTTAAGTGTTGAGTCCCATGCTAGGGCATGCAAACAACGAATGAGGCCATACCACAGAGTTTATATGCCAGTGAGGAGTCACTGCAATGCGTAAACCTGAAGCAACACAGAGCACACTCAGGAGATCACAGGCTAGGGATGTACTCTAGCCTGGAGGAGTGGGAAAGCATCTAATCAGACATGGGCCTAAGGCACTAGGGGAGAGGTCAATGTGCCAGGAACAAATTCATCCAGATCACATATGCAGCTTGCCAAAAATACATATCACTGGTCTCATGCGATTCTTGAACCAGATTCTCCCATGATGGCATATGAGCTAAACAAGCATTCCAGTTAATCTGATGCCAGGTGTCAGTGGACCACCATTAGTTACATTAAAATGTAGTTACTATTGGGGGTGGTGATACACATCTGTAATCTCGATAATCTCAGGGGCTGGGGGATCACCAGTTTGAAGCCAGCCAGGATTACATAGTGAGACCCACACTACCACCACCACAACAAAAGAATAAGCAAGTATGACCATTCTGTGAAGAGTAATAAGGAGAGCTACAGCACCAGAAACGAGAGCAGATGGAGATGGAGAGGTTAGAGGGTATGTCCAGAGGCCTTAGGAAATGTACTGTGGGCATCAGAAGTAAGATAGCTACTGCCTTGACTCACACCAACAAGTACACTCTAGGGGAACAGAGAACCAACCAAAGCTTTCTGAGCAACTCCATGCATGCTGTTTGAACAAGAAGACAAGGACAATATATGGAAGGAAGAAGAGAACAGATTTTGAGAAAGGATAGGACTTAAGAATTTTCATTGTGCAGAAAACTGACGAAAGGAAAATTTAAATAAGAAAAGTGCCCAACCCTATACCAACTACCACAGAGCATCATTAATCCCACAGAATAACCAAGCACCCAACAAGCGTCAGGTTAACAATTCTGAGGACACTACAGTTTAAAATTAGATCTCAACTGTTCCTTTCTTCTTGTATTTCTCTACTTTTTTTTGTTGTTGTTGGGTCCGGTTGTAGGCCTGAACTCTGGGCCTGAGCACTGTCCCTCAGCTCTTCAGCTCAAGGCTAGCACTCTACCACTTGAGCCACAGTGCCACTTCCGGCTTTTTTTTCCTGTGTATGTGGTGCTGAGGAATTGAACCCAGGGCCTCAAGCATGCAAGGCAAGCGCTCTACCACTGAGCCACCTTCCCAGCCCTATTTCTCTACTTTTTACCAGGAAAAAAAAAAAAAAACTATTTCTGAAACCTGTCTTTGGGAACTTTTTTGCTCTTGAAGCATTAACTGGCTCAAGTCAAATACTCAGAGGTCCTCATGCTGAGTGGCTTTGCCTATTTGCTTTTAATGAAAAAGAAACATGTAGGCATCTTTTTTTTTTTTTTTTGGTCCGGTTGTGGGGCCTGAACTCTGGGCCTGGGCGCTGTCCCTCAGCTCTTCAGCTCAAAACTAGTGCTCTACCACTTGAGCCACAGCGCCATTTCCGGCTTTTTTCTTTTTGCTTATGTGGTGCTGAGGAATCGAACCCAGAGCCTCGAGCATGCAAGGCAAGCGCTCTACCACTGAGCCACCTTCCCAGCCCTGTAGGCATCTTTTCTAAGGATGATAAACATGAGCTTCAACATGAGACAAAGAGGTAAAAGTCCAAATTCAAAACACATCAGAAGCCCAACATCAATTAGATGGCGCATAGGGCAAATACAGAACTTTGCCAGAGAACTTTCAGGTACACAGTCCTTCATTTATTCATTCAATATGTGCTGGATATTTATTTCAGAAGGCTGTTTCTTCCCTGACCTTGGAAAGACTAATAACAGCCTGAGAAAACACAGAGTGGAAAGTGTAGTCTGTTGAGAAAGGGAACTAAGGAGGTGAGTAAGAAGCACTTAAAAGAAGGGAGATGAGAAAGGCGCCGTGAAGGAACTCATGCAAACAGATCTACAAAAATAACCATAGTAACCCAAGGTCAAAGACTAACCAGACATCTGGGAACTGGATGAAGGTTCTTTGTTCAGTTAAATTCGTAATTTTCAATATACAAACTACTCTGCAGTGAGACAGTCTTTGTCTTTCTGAAACTAAATTATTTGAAAAGATACATACTCAAAAGAAACTGAACAAGATAGCACACAATCAGTGGTCACTAAGGGTAAAATAAAGGTATCAGTTTTTATAAAAAATTATATCTTAAACACTGTTCTAGAAACACTATTCTAGAATAGCTAAGACTGCTTCTAACAGCAAAGACTGCTGGCTGTACCTCCTTGTGTAGCCACACCCATAAATGTGGATCCCTTGAAGGTTGGGGTAATTATTAAACAACTTCCTAAGCAGCTTTACTTTAACTGTCACTTTATTGAAATCATGTTATATAAAACACTTCTGACCTGAACTACCTCCAAACTGCATATATGGTCTAGATTGCTATCACTGCTGGAATCTTTCTTGTCTTCAGCAAGTAAAACCCACCAAAGCACTCATAACTAAATAAAACATTTGGTTAAAAAAAAATCTGCCTCCGGGCTGGGAAGGTGGCTCAGTGGTAAGAATGCTTGCCTTGCATGCATGAGGCCCTGGGTTCGATTCCTCAGCCCCACATAAGTAAAAAGAAAAAAGCCGGAAGTGGTGCTGTGGCTCAAGTGGTAGAGTGCTAGCCTTGAGCTGAAGAGCTGAGGGTCAGCGCCCAGGCCCAGAGTTCAGGCCCCACAACCAGACCTCCCCCCCCTAAAAAAAAAATCTGCCTCAATTGTTATTTTTGTTATCTTTTCTGTTTCCCTTTTATGAGTCAATGTCTTTCTTACTATGTAGACCAGGTTAGCCTAGAAGGCATGATCCTCTGGCCTCAATCTCCCAAGTAACTGGAATTACAGGCATGAGCCACCATGTCTGGTTCATTTCTGTATTTTTAATCTTGTATGGGATACTTTCTTTTCTACCCTTTATTCAGCAGCTACTAAGTATTTTACAGGTAGTGTTATTTAGGAAGAAAAAGAAATATAATATAAATTCTGTTCTCATCTGAAATAGAAGTACGAAAAATAATTTTTAAAGGAACCTTTCATGAAATGTGCTAAGGTGCCTTTAAACACACAAAATACAAAAACAGCGCAAAAAGCACATTCATTGTTCAAGATTTATCCTTACATCAGATTTATTACCCCTATAAGCTAATTAATAATAATACACTTGAATAACTAGGTTCACTTGCTAAACTCTTATTTCAAGAATAAAAGATAACTTTTTTTTTGTCTGTTGTGGGGTTTGAACTCTGGGCCTGGGCACTGTCCCTGTGCTCTTCAGCTCAAGGTGAGTGCTCTCCTGCTTGGGCCACAGCACCACTTCTGGTTTTCTAGTGGTTTATTAGAGATAAAGAGTCTCGCAGACTTTCCTGCCCAGGCTGGCTTTGAACGGTGATCCTCAGATCTCAGCCTCCTGAGTAGCTAGGATGACAGGCGTGAGCCACTGATGCCCGGCTAAAGATAACACCTTTTTAAAAGATTATTATTGCTATGAGTGGAAGAAACTTAACTGCAAAAAGGGAGCAAAATAAAAAGAAAGTGCCTAAGAAAACTATCATGATTTTACTTTCAAAAAAGGAAAAAAATGACCAACATAGTAGCTTCATTAAATCCAGTTTACCTTGGCTCATATAGTAATCCAAGTAGCTGAGGCTACAATTTTGGACAGATACATTTTACATTACGGAAGTCAGTGAAAAAAAGTGTGCTAAGTCAGATATTATTAAAATGCCATTAGAATCAAACCACAAGTGCAAATGTCTTACCAGCTGGAATTCCCGACGCCGGTCATAGGCATTCTGTATGCCACTGTCCGCCCACAGGGCTCTTATTGCAGGAAGATACTGCAAAAACACTCGGGTTTCCACCATTCCTTGGGCAGCCATGGGGGCCCGGGTGTCAAATGCCATCAGCTTGTCTCCATGGAGCTGGTTTTCAGGATCTCCCCAAGGAATATGAAGCTTCTCTCGGGCATCTACCAGCACCCTCATACCTTTGTTTAAAAAGAAGAAAAAAGGTGTAATTGTTAGATACATTCTTGAATGTTAGAATGAGTGTGTATGTGTGTGTGTGTGTGTGCATTTGCACGCACATGTGTGTATGTATATCGGTCCTGGCTTGAATTCAGGGCCTAGGTGCTGTCCCTCAGCTTTTTAAAAAAAGGTTCAACGCTAGCACTCTACCACCTGAGCCACAGCTCTACTTCTGACTTTTTGGAAGTTTATTGGAGATAAAAGTTCCCTGGACTTTCCTGTCCAATCTGGCTTTGAATGGCAATCCTCAGATATCAGTCACCTTATTAGCTAGGATTACAGGTATGAGCTACCAGTGCCCAGCTTAGACAGAATAGCTTTTATTCCAGTATGACTTTTATTAAAGTTTCAAGTAGTCCAGCCCACCTCTTCAAAACAACCTGTATCTTCTCAGGATTAAAAAAAAAAGTTATCAGACTTACAACTGACATACTGAATTGAAACTCCTTTGTACAACTACATAGGACAGTTTTTAAAAAATTGTTTATCATCTTAAAACTAGAGCCTTAAAAAAGCAAACAGTATTAACTCATTGCTCTCTCTGAAGGACTTTAACATGCTACAATTTGTAAAATGATTTCTGGGGTAAAGGTGGTCAAACCAAACTCAAGAAGGAAGAGATTATGCTACTATGTTATGGAGCCCAAAGTCCAGAAACTGAAGACAAGGGCGTCACCCAAGGCTTGTATGCACCTGTCTGAAAGACACTTACTTGGGACACTAAAAGGCACACATTGTAACCACATTTAATTGGGTCCCTCAGCAGCCTAATCACAACAAGTCTTTCCAGCAACACATCAAAACTCAAATGGTTCTCCCAGTGCAACCTTCAAATCCGTCTAAGTTGTAGGCCAGCTTTAGATTTCCCTAAAAGGGAGAGACCCAACTGGGGAGAACACACACACACACCTACTACCTTTGGTCTATCTTAGCAGTCAATTTGGTCTATCTTAGCTGTCAACTTTCTGATCACGCCAACTGAGAAAAATGAATGCCCAGTGACTTAGCACACCTCACCACGATGCTCCAAGGTCACACTTAGGACACCGTGCACATTAAGAACCAGGTGCTTACCTGGCTCACAGTTAGCAGGTTGACTATTCATTAACATAATTCCCTCAAGTTCAACTGCATGGGGATAACAAAGGTACCTTAAATTAAGGCCTGGCAAGGCACAATCGGAGGCCGTGAAAGAGACCTTAATTAGTTTTGTGCTAAACATGAAGGCAGGATAAACAGAACCGTCTTTGACAGTTTAACTGTAGGGATCCCAAGGCTAGGAGCTAGAAGTGAGCGGTGAGTTCCCCTGACTGCCTGGGCCCCACTGTGCCTCCCTCCTCGGGCAGTTTCCTCTCCCCAAGCCCTGGAAGGAAAAAACTGTACCAGCCCCGTCTTCCCACATGTGAACCCCTATAGACCGAACAATCTGAAAAGACCTGCACGTTACAGCATACTCCTAGATCAAACAGGGTTGACAGGGACGTCACCTACAGAGGAAAGTTGCTGCTGCTTCTTCAAAAGGCTACAACTTTAAAAACACACACACACACACACAAATCAAAAACACCACCGATTCTTTGGAAGGCCCAGTAATAAAGAGCCGGGGTACTTTTCACTTAGAACCCACACGGGTCTGTCGCACAAGAGCAGCTGCCATTCTCCAGCCCAAACCTGACGCGCCGCCGCCACCTGCACCGAGGGATCCGGGAGGGCACCGCCTCGCTCCGCGGAGCCCGCAGGGGTGCCCCGTTTGCCCCGCGGGGTGAAGCGTACGGCCCCGAGCCTAAGGGCAAACATCCTGTTACACTGGGGCCAAAGATCCCGCGGGATGGGCTTCGTTTTAGATTCACGGCGGGGCAGCTCTTCCCCGGAGTCACATCCCTGGCCGCCCCCCTCTCCGCAAAGGACACCGGGGCTGTCACCCCACGCCCTTGACACGAGCTGCCTCTACTCAGACGTTTCCAGAACCCCCCCCATCCCCCTTTGCCCAGCTAGCGGCCCAAGGAAGCCGGGCAACCTGACGACTCGGGGTGGGGAGGGACCTGCTGGTGTGGGGGGGGGGTGGAAGGGGGGAGATCCGAGTCGGGGAAGAGACCGGTCAGCAGGGAGGAGGACAAGGAAAGGTCACCCGCACCCCCCGACTCCCGGCTCGCCTCACTTCCCCGTGGGATGGGGGCGGAG